TCGAATTTTTTCTTTTTTTTTTTTTTTTTTTTTTTTAATAATTTATCAATTAGGATTGAGAAAAGAGTGAAAAATTCAATACTATCAGGCAGCTTACTAAATGATAATTTAATTCAGAGTGTTTGTTATTGATAACGTAATTGGACATGACCTGTTTTACAATCTAAACAGATCTAATGATTAATGAGAACCGTTTATTAATGATTGTATCATTGTATCAAGTACACTTCTAACCTGTTTTATCATTGTTCTTCCATTCAATTTCAATTTTTTTTTTCTTTTTTTTTTTTTAAACAATCAATAGCAAATATCTAATCCATGTACTGGTTATTACATGAGTAATCGAGAAATTGATAATGATTACATTGTATAATGTAATAATGATGTTTGGTTGCATGGTATGGTGGTGGTATTTGGTGGTGTAAGAAAAAATAGCTACCAAGTTCAAATCCCGTATGGTGCACATGAATTCTAGTATGGGAAGTAAAATATTTCCTACATACTTGGGAAACGTGTGCAAAATTATAAGTGGCTTTGATGTGAGCTCGCCCACGACCATTGTCGTTGTGCGTGACGGTTAGCCGATACAGATCAATGCAAAAGCATGTTATGCTTTCGTTATTGTGAAAAAATGGGTAGGGAAATCTCGATATGGGTAGAGAAATCTCGATAAAACGTTTGGAAAGAAGGTTTTTGATCTGTTAAAAACTTTTAGCCATGAGATTCTTTTAGTATTCAATTTATATGGTTTTTCTTTTTGTTTAAAACAATAATTGATAATTATTTGTTTTATGTTTCATTTACACTGATTTATTTTAAAAGTTAAACTAAATAGAAGGAAAAGTAAATGGTTGAAATTTGAAAACCTTCCTCCTATAAGATAGTAAAATATTTGCATGCAGAAAGAAAGTATGTTTGTTTTATTACCTTTTCTTTCTTTTTTTTTTTTTTTTTTTTTTTTCCTTTATTTATTTATTACCTGTTGTTAATTTAGGCTGAAAATATCGAACAACGACAGCCAGCACCAAATCTAAGGTTATGGTCACTTCCAGAAGGAAAGCATATTACTACACTAATTGCTCAAAAACAGGTTTTACAAATTGCTGTCATTTAGCTAGTAGTATACATATTTAATTCACTCTTTTAATTTTAATTTAGCTATTTGTTTTTTTTTTAACTATTTAATTTAAATATTCGTAATTTATTTCTTTCTTTTAACGTACATGTTTTTTTTTTTTTTTTTTCTTATTATCTGAATTTTATTATTGGTATTATTAGAATCACGTAGTATCACATAGTAACGTAGTATCACGTAGTAATCACGTAGTAGTGAAAAATGTTGTAGCAGTGATTGATGTGTATTTTTAGAACTCATGGAAAATTCAATGGACTGATGATGAAGTTTATTCAGTTCGTTTAATTGGATCCGAAATTTTGATTCACAAATATAATTCATATGGTAATGATATTGCTATGTGAAATAAGGCTAGAAATTTTTGTTTGACAATTTGATATTTCATTCTAAATTAATATTTTACAGAGAAATATGAGTCAAAATTGGTGATACGAAATGTTGAAAGTTGCTCATTGAGCTCTGGAATGGAACCACATCATCTTGCAGTATATGTTCCTGCATCTGGTGGGCAACCTGCATTAGTGCAACTCAAAAGGTATGTTTTCATCGTTAAGTTTTCATTGGTTATTTATAAAAAAATAATCCTTATAACAAGCAATTATGTATTTGTATATTTGTTATAAATTTTAGCACTTTTTTTTTTTTGATCTTACTTTTGTATAAAGTAATTTTTCAATGGATATTTTGTTATAATTTCAATGTCCGTTTTTACAGCTATGTTCCATATGTTATATTTTAGGTTGGATCACAAATTCACTACTGTGGCTAGCAAAACTCTCTTTAAATGCGATAAAGTTAATTTGTTATGGAGTTGCAAAGGTTTGCTTTCAGCTTTAATCTACGCATTAGATTGTTAAGTTTTACTAGATAGATAAGATTTTAAAAAAAAAAAAAAAAAAAAAAAAAACGAAAACTTTCTTCAGCTATTTCATAGTCATATTTGCATAGATTTTTGCGAAGTACTGTTTAATTTCTAATTTTTTAATTTTTGTTTCGGCTGTCTGTAAATCAAATCGCACTAATCTTGATGAGTGTGCCGTTTAACTGCATTTTTTGCTCAGTCACCTTAGTTTTTTTTTTTTTTTTTTTTTAAATTATGCTAAGAAAGTTTGACATTTATATAAATATTTATATTTTAAAAACTTTGTAAACATTTTACAGGAAGTGCAATGATAGTAATGGCAATAGTGGATGTTGATATTTCAAATAAAAGTTACTATGGTGAACAAAACTTATATCTTGTAGCGGTAAATGGTGATAGTTGTGCTGTGCCGCTCGAGAAGAATGGACCAGTTTATAGCGCTAAATGGAGTCCTAATGGAAAACAATTTGCAGTTTGTTATGGCTTTATGCCTGCTCGGGTATTTCTACTTTCCTAAAACTTTTTTTGTTACAATTATTTGGAATAATTTGGAAGAATTTTCGCTGTGATTAATCATCTATTATTATTCCAATACTACTTTAAGTAATCTTGAGTTATTGATTTCAGGTAACTTTGTACAATTTGAAATGTGATCCAGTTTTCGATTTTGGCGAAGGACCACGAAATGATATGTATTACAATCGATTTGGAAATATCTTGATACTTTGTGGTTTCGGGAATATTGCCAGTGGTCGTATGCAATTTTGGGATGTAGAAGCTCGACGTGAAATTGTTACTGTATGTTTTGTTAGTTTAGAATTTTAATTTGATAGAATTTTAATTTCTTGTTATTGTCTTCTTTTTAATTGAATAAAAAAAAATGTATTTTTACATTTTCTGTTTTTATTCTCTATTATTTTCCAAGATGGTAATAATATTATTTTAGATTGAGGCACCAAACACGACATTATTAGAATGGGCACCAGATGGTCAGCATTTAATGACTGCCACTACAGCTCCAAGACTTCGAATCGATAATTGCTTTAGGATATGGCATTACAGTGGTCGTTTACTTTATGAACATCGCTGTGATTCTTCTTCCGAATTATGGCAGGTAATCTTCATTTTTTAATTAATTTTGTTTTTGTTTTTGTTTTTTTTTTTTTGTTTTTTGTTGTTTCTTAAATGTAATTTTTGTAAGCTACTAAAAGTGAAAACATGCTAATAAATTCAAATGGAATACTTTATTGCTGATTACATGAACGGGCTTTCTGTTCATGATTACATTTTTTTAATATGATAGCTCAATTGTTCATATAAAATATTATGATAGTATTCGATGCAATATTTCCTAGTTTTATTGCTAATAAGTGGTAATAAGACAAAAGCAAGGCCCAGTTGCATAATTAAACTTTTTGTCTTGTTTATTCTGATAAGGTATTATATGATATAATTCTTCTTGTTCCTTTTTATAGCTTTTATATGTCCTACTACTTTTTTATCCTACTACTTATTTTATATGTCCTACTATAAAGTAACTCTTCAGATGTCCATGTTAAATTTGATGAGTTTAATAAGAGAGAGAGAAAGACTAAATTTAGAGTTTATATTATATTTTGTAGGTGCAATGGCGACCTGTTCCTGGGAATATTTACCATTCCTTTTCGATTCCACTTCTAACAGTTGAAGACAAAGCAAAAGCTGGCTTAATAGTGCAGAAGAAGATTATGGGTGATGAACATCCAGCTAATAATTTGCCAGTTGGTGCAATTAGTAAAAATGGAACTTATGTGCCTCCTCATTTACGGAAAGGTACAATTATATTTACTGAACAAATACTCTACTCTTCAATATGAATAAGCTTTATTTCATTTTATTTGAAGAGAAGTAATGCTGAAACGTTGTACAATTTTTATCGCCAAAATCATTCGTAATTTAGGTGCAGCAAAAAATGTTTTGAAAGTGGCAACATCGACTTCAACTTCAAAGGCTCCATTATCTGAAAAAGAGAAAAAGGTAGGAAGTACTGTTATGCTTGTAATTTATTAACTGATCTTTAATCAGTTATGTAATTATGATAAGTACTTTTGTTATCATTGATAGCATTAGAAATATGAATGAATGAAATGTACTGAAATATGATAGGACATAAAACTTAGTCACTATTCAACTGCTCATAGATAGATGGGTAAATATAGAATTATTAGATTTACATAGATTATTTATGGGTGAAACTATTTGAAATAATTTAAGGATAACTAGTATCTTTTAGATACGTGCGCTGCAAAAGAAAATTGATGATATTGAGAAGTTAAAGAAGCGGAAAGAAAGCGGACAAATTTTGGAAGCAAATCAGATGGCAAAAATTAATAAGGAAGATGAAATTATCGAAGAATTGGAGAAATTAAAGGTTGCTTGAAAACTTGTTTGAATTATACTTGTTTGAATTTCTTCTTGAATAATTGCTAGAGAGAAAAAAAAGGCAAATTATTTTTCTCAAGAAAACTAAAAATGGTTCTGTATTGTTTCGTTTTTTTTTTTTTTTTTTTTTTTTTTCTTTTTTTTTGCTCTATGTTAAATTCGAAATATTTGATTTATGCTCGTTATATTGCTGTTATCAAAATATGAGTAAAATTTTTGATATGTATGTTTTTGTTGTATAACCGGTTACATTTAAGAAAATGAAAGCTTTCGCTTTATTTTTAGTACTTTTGCTTGCCGATCATTAGAATATTATCATTCGCAAAAATAGACTACAAAGAAGTTATTGCAAATAACTTATAAAAGTTGTAATATATAATATAATTGCTGGATTGTTCGGTGTTGTAGATGAGATTGGCTAAGTAATTACACATGAAATGAATTTTAGGTTTCAAAAAATAAAAAATAAAATTAATTGATTCGTTGGTAAAGTTAGAGTTATCCAAACATTATTATTACTATGGCAACAATCATTTTTTGATTGTAATCATTTAATTAACCTATGTAAAACTATTAATTACAATGCAGGATTGTACTATAGAAACATATTTGAGACTGAATTTTGATGACATTATGGGAAGATTACCTGGTAGTAAAAATAAGCTAATAAAGAATACGGTGAACAGTGACGAAATTGGTGTGAAAGGTTATTAATTTTTTTTTTTTTCCTGAATTTTTCATATATTTCTCCTCTTTATTCCGTTATCAGTGTAATCGAAGATCGATTTTTAAAATGGTCTTAATGAATCTTAACTATTTTAACAGTTCTGATTCTCAAGTTTTTTTAAATGTGACAAGTTTTATTTAAAAAAGAAAAAAAATTCAATACGGCGATATGTTTTGATTAATTTCGCTAAATTACTGTATTATTTTATAATTTTTATTGTTATTAAAATGTAAATATACTTGGATTTAGAAGTAATCGCAAAAAAAAAAAAAAAAAAATGATTAATAAATATGAAAAAAAATTATATACTTGGAGCTATAGGAGTTATAACATTTATTATACAAATTATTTTAGTTAAAAAACGACCATATGTTCGTCATCATAGACGACTTAGTAATAGACAAGAAGACCAGCCAAGCACATCTGATGAAAAGGTTATCAAAAAATTTTTAATTTCATTTCAAGCTTTCTTCCTATTTATTCACAGATATATGAATAAATGAATTATTACTATTGATTAATTCATACTTTAGTCAAAAATGGTATACAGTTTACTTGAAAAGCTAGCAAAAGAGGTACAGACATTATCCATGGAAGTTGTCGAATTTGAGAGACGAGCACAAGATCGTTATCGTAGTTTAATTGATGAAAATATTACTCTGCGAAAGCAAGTAAACGGTTTAAGGTAAGTATTCCTTTATAAAGTGTTATCATTGCTTTGGAAAAATCTAATTAGCTACTTTTATAAAGTATGTAGGATATTTGAATGATAGGTATAATTCATAATTTCTATTCATGCAATTTGGTAGAATTTCTATAGTTTGTGAAGTTTTTTTAAGTTAAACTATGACAGTTTTTTTTTTTTTTCTTTTTTCCCTTTTTCAGCTCTTCACATGATTAATTCTTGTCTTAGGTTGATAACAATAGACTTATCTAACATTTTTGCAATGAATTTGTTAATTTTCATTTAATTTAATTAGAGAAGGTATTACTTTTTGATAGTTCTATTTTGCAGCAATAAAGTAGGTGAACTATGTGAGAAGATCAGTAAATTACATTCAAAAGGAACTGTAACAGAGAAATATACGTTGCATAGAGGAAAAGTGGAAAATTCACCAATGCCAGAATTAGAACCATATGTTAATGGTACATTTGATGATACAGATGATGAGGAAAAGTTAGTCGTTATTATTAAAATTAATCAAAATTTCTTTTCCTTTAATATTATTAGCTGTTTTCTGAGCATTCACTGTTATCATATTTTGTCAAATAATTCACTAAATTAAAATCTTGAAATCATACTAATTAGATTTAATTGAATATAGCACGTGGATGTATTGCTTTGTTATAGGTCAGATAAAGCAGTTGATACAAAAGATTCCACTATCGATGCTAATGAACTTAACAGTAAACCTCGTAAAAGACGTGCTGCCGCTAACAAACGTGAGGGTGATTATGCTAATATGCTGAAACAAAATATTTCAATTCATGAACCAAAGAAATCGTTGGCAGATACATCAAAATCTCGAGAAAAGAAAGTTAAATTCTTGAAAAAAGAATTAGATGATGGTACTGATTCAGATAAGTAAGTTACTACTAATAACATATTGTTATCTTTCTTGCTTAATTAATAAAAAAATCTTTTTGATTGAAGTTTTTATTTGACATAAGAAAGATTGTTTCCTTCTAAGGTTAATTAGCGTTACCAATTATAATGATTTGAGGAGTATGAGTTTCATTACATTTTTTATTCTTAGAATAATTTAGCATAGCAGGTAGGTAGCACTGGAAAAATGGAATCTATATACCTTCTATGTGCTTATCTATCTTTCTCGAGATTGATAACATCAAAACGTATGCTTAAAAGATAATTAGTTGGTGCCTATATTGCATTTTAGTTATTATATTTTAGCTCGAATGATGATTTAAAAGAAGGAAATGAAATTTCGCCATGGAAATTGTATAAACATATTCAAATTATACCACAGCCAACTAATTTACCAAAACCTAAAATTGCTCGTTCTGGCGGAGGACGTAATGTTCATTTTACGGATGAGTGGAAGCAATATGCGACAGCTGTTTATCCCATTGATCCAAGTCGTTATTGGAATCTACCGCAAGCTCAGTATGATCTTCTCATACCGGTAAATAATGCTGAAAATTTTGAGCAGATTATTATTATTATTATTATTCCAAGAAAGATCGTAAAAATGGTTTGGTGAAAAATTTTATAAACTCTTTAGAGTTTTTTCTTCTTTTTTTTTTTTTTTTTACTGTTTGCTAATTTAATATACCAAATAGATTTTAGACAATTACGAATAGTTGGTTCAGGAAAAAAACAAAAACAACAAACTGTTTTGTAAATGAAATTAGCAATAAAATTACAAAATTGTAAATTTTTCCTTAATTTTTTATCAGCAAAAAGAAAAAAAAAAAAGTATTTTCTTTCCTAGGATGCTGATTTGGAGATGTTTGCGAAAAATCCTGATAAAACTGAGAAAGAGCATTTTATTCGATCAATTTATGATTGGTTTCGAAGTCAACATCGTGTTGCTCAATTGAGAGTGGTACTAAATGAATGTAATTCAGCGATCGATTTCAATGATTTATGGGATGTATATGTTAAAGGAATGAAACGACGAGGTTGGCCAATTTATGGTAAAAGACTTCGAAAAGGTGAAGTATCAGCTGCAAAACAACGAATTCTGGAGGATTTCATTGATTCTAACATTCAAATCTTTTAATGTAATTCTTTTTCTGTTCATTTTTATTCCTCAAATTGGGTATTGTTTGAAAATTTTTACGTTTGTTTATTTTTTGTTTTGTTTTGTCTTTTTTTTTGGTTTTTTTATTTGTTGCTTACCAATGATCTTTATATGTTGAGCATAGGGGAGGGGGGGGGGGGGGAAAAAAAAGGCGAGACGTGAATGATTTGACGAGAATATATTACATTGATAAAGATGATTTCTCGAATTATCGTAAACGGAAATATATTGATTAGGTAATTTAGTTATAAATTATCAGTTACATTCTTTTTTCATTTATGATCTTAAGCAGATTAATGAAAAATTTTGAAATGAAATTTTTGAAAAGATAAAATTTTGTAAACGATGGTAAATTTTTTCTACCTTTTGCAAATTTTTATGATTTTACAGTTTTACAAAGTATGATTTTATTTTGTATTTGTCTCATGTCAATAGAAAAAGCAGTTTTTTTTTTTAGATGATCTTTGTAAAATTTTTTTGAACTTCCAAGTTTTTTTTTTTTTTGTTTTATCATATCCTGAAATTTTTTTTTTTTATTTTTTTGCCTTTTTTTGTTCAATTATTTTTTTGTTACCGAATATGCGATGATTTTCTTTTTTTTTTTTTTTATCAATAGCCTACTTTTTTGCTTCATGATTGTTTTGATTGGTTGAATTCTGCTTAATCTGTTTAAAATTTTTGATTTTGATCTAAACTTCAAACTTTCATCAAATTGCATACCGTTTGAATTTTATTTAGCATAATAAATTAAGTAGATATTGATTCTCTATTTTTAATTTAACTCCAATTGAGCGTTTTTTTTTTTTTTTGAATCTATCTTTTTTTCATCCTTTAATGCATAAGAAAATCCTAAATTTAAACGAGTAATTCTGCAAATTAAAATTCAACATATTCAATTTTGATTTCAGTGAAATAATTCTGATGTGAAATGTATAAATTATAAACAAGAAAGATTTATATAAAATAAGAACAATGCTGATGAGTATTTTATAGATTTAGAATATATTTGTAAAAATTGCGCACACCAATGGATACAAAGCGATGAGTAAGCTTTTTTAAAAAATACTTTGTGAGAATATTTGAATGCAACATGAGCAAAGAAAGAAACGCAAAATTTGAATTATAGATGATAATAATAATAATAATAAGCTTTTCCAGAACAAAATAAAATATTTTTTAAGTTTTTTTAATGAATAAAATTATAGATTTTAATATTTTTTCCAATATTCTATTTCTAAGAAAAAACGATTATAAATATTTTTTATGAAATATAAATAATTATGTTGCTTATAAAAGAATTAATTACTGTGAGATAAGCGAAAAACTGTTGAAATTTAATTAGGTAATTGTCAAAAAAACAAAAAAAAAAAAAAAACGGCAGTGAAGAAGGACAAAGAGAGAGAGAGAGAGAGGGAGAGAGGGACGATGTAAATTTTTTCAAACAAAAAATATCCCATTTAAATTGGCATAAAAGTAAATGTCTTTTTCATTTCTTGATGATATAATAGATTAAGCAAAAGAATTATTTAATAAATGAAATGTATTAATTGTCAAATCTGTAATACTTTAAAATTTTTTTTTAATTTACTCTAACTTTCGCTATTAATTAGATTCAAATTCCCAAAATTTTTTTTTTTTCAATCGATGCTTGCATTCATGAATATTTTGCTAATGAAAAAATTGTAGATTAAACAGATGCGAAATTTTTCAGGAAAAAAAAAGGACAAATAAAAATAAAAAAAAAAAAAACAAAATGAAGAATAATCGAGCAGAATGTTAACAAAATTTGAATGATTGTAATTTTTGATTGTAATTTTTATTCTGTTTCTGCTTGTTCAATCGTTTCATCTAATTCTTCATCAGCAGTTGCCTCCTATAATACAAATTAAATTAAATAACACAGATATAAAATATATTTAAACAGATAATTCTATTTTGTAATTAAAATTCCAATAATTAAATAGATAATTCTATTTGTAACTAAAATCCCAATAATTAAACAGATAATTCTATCTATGATTGAAATCCTAATAATTAAATACATAATTCTATATTGTAATTAAAATTTCAATAATTAAATAGATAATTCTATTTATGATTAAAATCCCAATAATTAAACAGATAATTAATTCTATTTATGATTAAAATTCCAATAATCAAATAGATAATTCTATTTGTAACTAAAATCCCAATAATTAAACAGATAATTCTATCTATGATTGAAATCCTAATAATTAAATAGATAATTCTATATTGTAATTAAAATTTCAATAATTAAATAGATAATTCTATTTATAATTGAAATCCCAATACTTAAATAGGTAAATCTATTTATAACTAAAATCCCAATAATTAAATGGATAATTCTAATTGTAATTAATATTCCAATAATTAAATAGACAATTCTATTTATGATTAAAATCCCGATATTTAAATAGATAATTCTAATTGTAATTAAAATCCCAATACACAACTCTACTTGTAATTAAAATCCTATCATTTTTGCATAATATTATTTTGTCTTAATTTCCAACTTATATCATTTTTTTAACTGTCATCAAAAAAAAAAAAAAGAGGAAAGATCAAAGAAATTAGAAAAATGACCTGATATTGTTGATATTCAGAAACTAAATCATTCATATTACTTTCAGCTTCCGTAAATTCCATTTCATCCATTCCTTCACCAGTATACCAATGCAAAAATGCTTTTCGTCGAAACATTGCTTAAAATATTTTAATAGTTCACTTTTTTTTTTTTTTTTTTTTTAATTTTAATTTTATATAAATAAAATTATTAAACAATAGTTAATTTCAAAATAATTTACTAAAATAATGAAATTATTTTCCAGAATACTACTAATTAATATTTGTATTACTAATTAATCTGATAAATTTTTATGAAAAAAAAAAAATAATAAAATAATAAATAAACCTGTGAATTGTTCGGAAACACGTTTGAACAGTTCCTGAATTGCCGTTGAATTACCAATAAACGTGGCAGCCATTTTAAGTCCACGTGGTGGTATATCACATACGGCTGTTTTCACGTTATTCGGAATCCAATCAACAAAGTATGCAGAATTTTTATTTTGTATATTCAACATTTGTTCATCAACATCCTAAAAATTTATTTATTCACTTAGATAAATGTATTTTCAAGTTTAACTAATTGTGTCGAAGAAACGTTATTTTTTTTTTTTAAAAAAAAAGCATTGAAATTTTTAATTCTACTATAAGAAGTTAAGGAATTAAAATTTAAATTCGAACTTTTCACTCCCTTTTTTTGTTTGAAAATAGTTAAACTCAGTGAAATAGCAAATGCAAACACTAGCATTTTCTAATTTCATTTTTTATCATCATACATAATTAATATTTAAATTGAAATAAATAACAATTGTAACTATAAATATAAATTCTAAATTCTATACTGGTATAAATTTTAATCCAATATATAAGATTAATTTGATGAATTAATCGAATTTTCAGATGATTCTCTTTTTCTTCTTTTTTTTTTTTGCTGAAACAATCCAAAATGATAGTTAATTTTATGGAAAATATAATTAATAATAATGATATAATTATTAATTTTTTATGAATGATAAGAAAGTATTTTTTTTTTTTTTTTTTGATAGCACAAAAATTAATGAATTTTCTTCATTTTTTTTTTTTTTTTTAGAAAATTAATTTTAAAGTAAATTTTAAGTTTAAATATAAAAAAAAAAAAGAAAATTAAAATGAAAGAAACCTTCATTGACATTCTACCACGAAAGATTGCAGCTGCTGTAAGATATCGTCCATGTCGTGGATCACATGCTGCCATCATATTTTTAGCATCAAACATTTGCTGGGTTAATTCAGCTACCGTAATAGCACGATACTGTTGATTACCTATAAAATTTAATTACTAATTATCAATTTAATGATACATTTTAATTAATCAATTATAAATTTGATTTAATACTTAATTCTAATTAATATCGCTTATTTGATAAAATATTAATTTGCTAAATTGCTAAATTATTAAGCTAAATTTAAGAATAATTATAATATTTATTTATTATTATTATTAGTATATTACTTAAACTAATATATTACTAGTTTAATAAATTGAATAATATATTATTTAATCAAAAAATTAAAAAATAAGCAAACTTCGAGAAGTAAGTGGCGCAAAACCGGGCATAAAAAAATGCAACCGTGGAAATGGTACCATATTAACGGCTAATTTACGTAGATCAGCATTTAACTGAAATATATTTTAAATCTGAGATATTTTTTTTTCCTAATTTTATTCTTATATTTCGTTTTTTTTTTTTTTTAATTTTATTAAATTTTTTTTTTCCATTAAATATGTTGTATTTAGATCTTTGAATTTTCTTGGTTTTGTAATATTAGTATGATTTTATTTTAAAACCTTTTTTTCTAAATACAAAAACCATATTTACTTGAATGATAAATATTATCTTATCAAATTGATTACATCAAATTTCAATGTAATACATAATTGATAACAATTATTGATAAGTGTATTCTAAGATAAAAACGAAATATAAGAATTAAATTTAGTGTGATATTTTACATTTATCATTTTTTTTTTTAGAATGAAATATTTATTTCAGCAAAATTAATTTCATTCATATCACTTATTATTATTCAACTAATTTAAATTAATTTAATTAACAATTTGCTACACACAAAAAAATGATAAATTGTTTATTATAGATAAATGAGAATTTTTATGACTATAAACAAATGATTGTTTAATTAATTCAAATTAATTAAAAATTATACATATATATATGTTTGTTTTTGTTTATTTATTTATTCATTTGTTTTATCAATTTTTAAAAAGTAAAATGTTTAAAAGTATTTTTTCAAAATTTAAAATGTTTAAAAGTATTTTTTCAAAAATTAAAATGTTACAAGTATTTTATAGGATTGTAAAAAAGAAGATAAAAATAATTTCAACTTTTTATAAA